TAAACTTGAAGTAATATTTACAATGTGCGGTCGAAGTTGGGCAAACTGCGGCTGTGATAGTGTCAAGGGGCTAAGTAAAGCTGCGATCCTTGACACCTGGGGTGGAGGAGGTGGCAGTATATAAGGCAAAAAAGCATGTTGTTAACATGCCGGAGACGGTGGTCGGTAAGAGGCCGAGAGTGTCGTCACAGTACGTCGTCTTTCCCTTCAAGGCTGAGGCGAAGAGGAGGAGGTTCATCGATGGGACGTACCCCAATCTGTTCCGGGAGGTCGACCATGCGAAGTGAAAGCATTCGAGGCTGAGTGGCAAAGAATGTTGCCCGAGTAAGTATTGTATGATTTAGTAGACTAGAATTACTCGTATGTTCGTTTAACGTTTTTTCTATTTTATTTCTAGAGCCACGCACATGATAATCGAAAGGACGATATTGGACGCATACAAGTGGTTCCATGATATCACCACTCAGGGGGCTTGGCTCGCAGACGATGTAAGTGAAGTGTTATTGTTACTTTTTGAACACGTTATGTTTAATTTGGTAAATGAAATAAGTATTTATGTCTTTATTTTCCTTGATTTAGCACATCGACGTGGCCATGAACTTGTTACGCGATTGAGTTGAGAGATATCCACAATCATTCCACAAGTCTGGCCGCATTATACTGAACACCGAGTTCTTCTGTGCCATTACCATTAAGTATAAGTCCCTTCAGCTTCTAGGTAACGAGTACGTGTTTTCCGCATATATGCTCGAGTGGGTCATCGGGCTGTCACCGAGTGTTGGAGAAAAGCCATGGGAGGGTTGTACGTATTTGTACATTCCAACTATCATGAATCAGCACTATATTGCACTGAAGATCGTGTTCCTTGATTCGACGATATATGTGTATGACCCCGATCATTCATATCTGACATAGGGACAGCTCGAGCAAATCTTAGAGCCGATGACCGTGATCGTTCCTATGATGGCTAGACATGCGGGCTTGACCGTGGATGACAAACTAGCCATTGTGCGGGACATGACGACGACGAGACAGTCTATATCGCAAGTCTTTGTGATCTTTTTTTAATTTAGTAATCAGTTCGTACGTAATTGGAACCAAACTAACACATATTTGTTCATTTGCAGGGGCGATTGTGGGATTTTCGCAATCAAATACATAGAATTTTTGAGTATAACACATAAAGTTGATGGAATTAACCAGTCATGGATACAGAATTGGCGAAATAAGTTAGAGTGTGATTTATACGAATTTAATTCTGATCCATAAATTATTTGTAAATATTTTTGTACTTAATATTTGTAATTATTTTTTGTAATTATTCATGGAAATACTGTTTATTTCAATATAAATACTATTCATTTCAATGTAAATACTATTCATTTCAATGTAAATAGTTTTCATTTCAATGGAAATATACAATGCTCTAACTGTCATTTAGGGAACCTGACTTATACAAAATTGGGAGTATGTCCTATTGATTTGCACCTGCTACACCTACGCGATCGGGAAAACTCTTCGGTAGATGGTATTCTAGAAGTACTTGGACGTCAAAGACCACGTGGTTCAATGAGAGGTGGCAACAATGTATTGAACGGACGAATATGATCGGGAACTTCCCACTCGGCTTCGTTTGGAAGCAGAAATATGGTTTCAACATACGCAGCTCTCCAGTTTTCAGCAGTATCATAAGGAGAGTACAATGTTCTCGTTTCAAATTCTCGATACATAGCCATCGCAACTGCATGCTCACACGAAAAACTCTTTAACTGAAATTGTTTACAAGTACATGTTCCATCACTTAAATCTACCATATATGTCGTATGACATGCACATTCCACAGAGAAGCACGACTCGTCTAGTGGTTCGACATTTAACTTTCTCGCAGCCTCTGCAGTCTTGAAGAGCTTTACTTCTTGTGCTAGGGCTAGCACGGTTGTGCAATTATGTGATTTCGCACGTTGATCGTGAAACCACTGCTGCAGCTTCGTACGGATATTCTCAATCAGTGCGATAATGGGTAACTCTCGATCCCTCTTAAATAATGCATTGAAAGACTCCGCGTTGTTTGACATCATCATGTTGTATCGATGTCCTAGAAAATATGAGCGCGTCAAATGTTTAATCCCCATTTTCGTTAGATAGTCCCATGCCGGGAATGATTTGCTTCCTATTTCAACAATTTACCTATTACCCTCTTCAATACCGTAAGCTTCGACCGCTTTCCTAAACAATGAAATGATGTCTTAGCCCCGATACCTGGTCTTCAAGTTACCTTGTATATGGTACATGCAATACCCCTGATGTGCATCGAGAAAAACTTCAGCAATATCATTTATTATAGACTGTCCCCGATCGGTGACAAATGCAAGGTCCTCGACTTCTCCGATAACTTTCCTTAGCTTTGTGAAGAACCAACGCATCGACATATCATTTTCTTTATCAGTTATGTCGAATGCAAGAGGGTAAATTTGAATGTTGGTATCTTGACATGTAGCAATAATCAACTGGCCTTGGTATTTGGATTTCAGAGTTGTACCGTCGACTAGAATTAGGGGTCGCTTAACATTTCGAAATCCCCGAATGCATTGTCCAAGAGCCATAAAGAAGAATTTGAAGCAGTTATCAACCTCCGTCTCAATAAAAAATGCCGAGCCATGATTAGTTTTCTCCATGTTATGACAATACCTGACCAATTTAGCATAACTTTCCTCTGCCGTGTCGATTAAATCCTCCAATGCACATTCTTTGGCCTTCCAGGCCTTCTGGTAGCTCATGACTATTCCGTACTCTAGACAAACATTGTTAATGATGTCCGATGGTCTATAGATTGTCTGTAGATCCTGATACTTGTGCATTATCTGTCGACTAATAAACCAAGTTCGGGCTTGCCTGTGATCATTGCGACAAACTCCCACTTCATAAGTATGTTCTCTTGTATATTTGTGAATTACGAAGCACTCATTCGTGTCTATCTTTGTTGCTCGCAAACGCCAACTGCAACTATTATTTACGTATGATAATGTCAAAAACAACCTATTCGATTTTTCACTCTAAACTCGAAGTTGTATTTCAGTACAATTAGGTGCACGGCTTCTTGCAACTCTTTCTTTGTTTCAAATAGTTGCTCGACATACAAATCCTCATTATCAGGAACCACACGTGAGGAGTTAGAGGACAGTCTACTCGATCCAGCCCCCGAGGTGCCACCCCACTCATGTCTCTACGGGGATAAACCAATCAAGTCCTCGTTTGTAAAAATGTTTGCATTTTCATTCTCGTTGTCACGAGCAGCGAAGGGGATTCTGTGTGCAACTATCTCTAGAATAACCACATCATCTTCACGAGCTATCTCTATCGTATCCCAAAAATCATTAGCATTGTGATCCTCACCTCCCGAGTCTACTTGTTCATCTTTGACAACATCCTTCCTTACTAAAGTCACGCAAAGAGGAGGTGTGTGCTTATTGTTCAGTTCAATCAGATAATTCACTTCATCAACAGAAGAAATCATTATAGGTGGAATCGGAACTGATGCATGCTCGCTGAATTTAAATTTCAATTCCATGTTGTACTGAGAAGGATCAACATTTAACTTATTCTGTAAATCATTATAGAGTTCTGCATACGATGTACCTGATGATATGGAAATTGCTATACCACCACGTTTATCACTTGTCCATTTTCATACCCATTGATTTTTTTCGTCCAATTCGAAATCACCAAAATAACAAATTGGGACTACAACCATATCTGTACATTGAAACAGAATTTTTAATTACAAGAAAAATATCGACAGTAATAAAAATAAACCAAAAAAAGGGGGAAAGAAGAAAACAGTTAGCAAACAGCCGGCCGGACAGTCGGCTGTTTGATGTCCACAAATTTTTTGACTTCAGATTTCGATAAATTTTTAAGTTTCTGCAGTTGAAGCAGATAAAGGATGAGAGTGTTTTATTTATCCGTGTTGGAGTATATAAATAAGAAATATATGAAGTGTTTGATTTTTATTTTTTAAGTGAAAGGGTATTCATGTCTTTTAAAAAAACCAACTTTTGTAATTGTATAATGTATTTGAGGGTATTTTTGTCTTTTAACATTGGATAGGCCATTTTCATAATATTCCTTTGTTGAGAAGTCAATGTGAAATTTAGATAATTTGACCATGTTAATTTTAAAAGTACCCCCACCTTTTTTCATATGAATACTTTTTGATAAAAATACACTACGAGTCCTCAATATATGACATATTTAATAATTTAGTCCTCAGGCTTTTTTTACCACGTCTCCAACCTTTCAATTTTGTCCTTGTAATGCAACAAAATAAGAAGTTTTAGGATTGTGGGTGACGTAAATGAAATGCCTAAGTAAGCTACAAAAAACGAAAGGTTTTGGATAGATACTCTAATTATCCCTATATAATATTATAATACATATAGATGAACACTCTAATGAGAATCGATGCTCATTTTATGTTAAACATCGACAACATATCGTATCAATTTATTAGTTAATAAACTTAAGGTGACTCCAATATTTAAATTAAATTTAGAGGGTGATTGGTGAAAATTAAAATTAGATTTTTTTATAGAAGTTTTTGAAATATGTGATTAAAAAGTTGTCGGTCCTATAAAATATGTAGTTACTTTTGACTTTGAATTGAGATTTTTAATTCAAAATGAATAGGGGCTTAATTGATGTTAAACATAAAATGAGTGTCAATATATTAGATCATGCCTCAATACATACATGTAAATAGATTGAATGGAAATGGTCAATTTATTAATTAAATATAGGCATGTTCAATAGTGATTTTGGAAATTTTTGATCTTTAGAGAAAAAAATAAATTTCATACGTGAGTGAATAAATTAAAAATGACGAATGACTTAAAGGAATAAAAGTTGGATAAAAAATTAAAAAAATCAGAATGAAACGAGAGCATATATTTTTTTGATAAAGCGTGGTGAAAAAGACAAACGGTGCAGTGGCGGCAATCCGCTTCAACCGCGAATTTGGAACTTTTTCCCCTATATTTTAATATTTTCTCTCTTTCCCTTTCAAAACCGCTCTTTCAACTCCTTCGCCTTTATTTTCACTCTCCCCATCTCTGACTCTTCTACCCTCTCTACTCTATAATTTGAGCTCAGTTTTCCTTTTCACTCTTAATCTCATACTAAATTCTCAATTTTTGGTTGTACAATTTTCAATATTTGGTACATTTTACGATTCGGTCTCCGATCGGTAATTTCTCTCTGCATTTGTTTCTTCAGTTGATGTCAAAAAAAATTTATTTGCGGTTCATGTTTTTCTATTGAATTATCATTCATTTTTATTTTTTTATAGCTTTTTTGTACAGTCAAGTTGGTTATTTTTATTTATTTATTTATTTATTTTTTTTGGGCGTGGGGGGGGGGGGGGGGGGGTGTTAAATTATGTATTTTGAAATTCTCTGTGTTTCAAGTAGAATTATTGGCATGATGATGATGATATCAAGTTAATTTTTAGAAGATAAAGATGGTTTAGGTTGATATAACGTGTAATAGATACTGACAATGTTTAGTTTGGTAAGTAGTCGTAAATGGATGAGACGTCCTAACCCCCCTCAACTGCAGCCAAAAATAGAAAAAAGAAGTAGAGAGACAGAAAATCACCTGATGCTTTGTGATTTATTGAACTTTCAGTTATAGTATTTGTTTTTGCCCTTGTTATTAGTAAAATAAAAGGTACTGTCTAGTTATTTTTACTGAATGGGGTTGTCTAGGTTCTAAAGATGTATTGGAAAAGATTGAAGTGCTACTGAGATGTTAGAATAAATTGAAACGATTTTGATTCACAACTGCTGTTAAATGTTAGTCGGCAACAGTAGGCACCAGCATGCGAATAACCATTTTTGATTGTTTTGTTTTTTACTTTTTTCCACCAACATACAACTGGCAAGAAGTGATAGACCTGTAGTTGCCGGAGGAATCATAGTAATGTGTGAGCCATGACAGTTTCTTGTGACCATTTTTGACATTCTTAAGCATGGATTTTTGTTGCTTCCCAATTAAGTAGGGATATTGCAGCAAGCCAACAACTTCACCTCTCAAGAGACCGCTAACCCCAACTTGCACTATAAATACTTTGGACTTAGATTATTTGTAGCATTATTTAACTATCTTAATACAAGCTTTGAGAGATGACTGAGTCTTAAAGTCATTATTCGTTCGATCATTGACAATTTATTTATCTTCTTTTTTCTTGAGATGGTGAAAGGAATTGAATACCTTTTGGATAAGTTATTAGATATCTATGAATTTTCTTATGTAGAAGGATGTTATTATTTTTGGCTTCTTTTTCCTGGGCCAGATTGTTCTGGCCTTTTGCATTGGTTTCAACAACACATTTAAAATCAGTTATTACAAGATTGATTTAGCGATCTAGTTGACCAAGTATTACATACTTGAATGATCATTTTCTATCATTTACACATTTTGATTTTTATAAAAATTTAAAGATGTAACATGATTGTCACCTTTGTCTTTATGATCCTATGCTTCGTTAGTTTCTTACTTGGGATACCCATCTGGATGTCTTTTTTAAGAAAAATAACATGAGATAATGTGGTATTTTTATTTTTATTTTTTAAAATGTCTACTATCTTATCACTGTTACCTCGTGCATATTTCCAATTTAGTTATCCATGCAGTGCTCTAGTCTAGCAGTAAAGTTGTTGGACACATTCCTCGTATTCAAGTTTGTTACAGTTACAGTCTTGTAATATGTTGTTTAGGAAATCAATATCTTGCCATTTAGTGACTTTTATATACTTTCCAGCAGCTCGTGCTTAAATATCTTTCTCTGGTGTGTCATCATTTTTTATTTATTTACTATTTCTTAGTAGACTAGGGATCTGGTGAAATCAGTTGTCTTCTTGTCTGTAAAATCAAATTAACAAAGTCAACTCTCTTTTTTCTTTTTATAATAAAATAGTGATGTCTAAACATGCAGAGTCTATCATTTTGTGGTTTCTTGTTCTCTTAAATGTTTAAATTTTACATTACCTAGCTATTTTTTTCTCTATGCTTCTTTCATCAATTCACATTTACATGTATGTTCCTCTACTAGCTTGATGGTGAATGGTTCCATTGCATCAACATTTATTGTTGAAGGAGTTATATGTTCAGTTGCTGAATTTAGTTACCTCTTTTGAACATTCCTTCTGTTTTCAGGTCACTTGCTTTGGCAAGATCTGGTGTTGTGGAATTTTTTCTACTCAGCATCTTCCGACCTTTTTAGGATTTCTTATATAGCCATGGCTGCTGGCTTGGGTGGTGACATTTCTAATGACAATGTTAATGACCATGTTGATCCTCAGAGGACTTACCAAGTTGTTGTTGCTGCAACTGAAAGTATGGGTATTGGTAAGGATGGGAAACTTCCATGGAGATTGCCTTCTGATCTTAAATTTTTCAAAGATGTTACCGTGACTACATCAGATTCATCAAAAAAGAATGCTGTTATAATGGGAAGAAAAACTTGGGAAAGTATTCCGCTTGAGCATCGTCCTCTTCCTGGTCGACTTAATGTAGTTTTGACTCGTTCAGGGAGTTTTGATATTGCAACCGCTGAGAATGTTGTGATATGTGGAAGCATGAATTCTGCTTTGGAATTATTAGCAGGATCTCCTTACTGCCTGTCAATTGAGAAAGTGTTTGTTATAGGAGGTGGAGAAATTCTTAAGTGAGTGAATCTGTTTGTTTACTACGTCATTCAGTGTTTTGTCGGACTTATTTTTGCCTACCTTTTTTTGTTTATGCAGGGAAACCCTCAATGCACCTGGATGTGATGCTATTCACATTACAGAAATTGAGGGAAACATTGAATGTGACACTTTCATCCCAGCTATTAATAATTCTGTATTTCAGCCATGGTATACATCTTTTCCATTGGTTGAGAATAAAATTCGATACTCATTCACGACTTATGTCCGGGTAAGGAATTCAATAATTGAAGACTGTAATCAGCCAAATGATGTGACTCCCCTTAGTAGCTCTGGTTCTGCTAAGACAGAGCTCAAAACATTCACTTTCTTACCTAAAATGATTTTTGAGAGACATGAAGAATTCAAGTATCTGAGACTTGTTGAAGACTTAATCTCTAATGGCACCTTAAAGGATGATAGGACTGGGACTGGAACTCTGTCAAAGTTTGGCTGTCAGGTATTGAAATTTTATATTATGCCAGGCTGGTAGACTCTTGCTTTTATAATATTTTCTCAAACTGCTTTTATGTTATTGCTGATAATATGAATTTTTTTCCCGCTTTTTTCACAGATGAGGTTCAATCTTCGAAAATCTTTTCCCTTGCTTACAACTAAGGCATGTTCTAGAATATCTTCAATAGTGCATAGTGTGACTTAAATTGCTAGTGCCCTTAGTTTAATAATTTGTTCTCTCTCTTTTGTGATGTGGACAGTGGACTAAAATGTATGAACTTTCTTTCCATATCACTTGATATTCATACATTCCTCACATATTTCACAGAAGATTTTCTGGCGAGGCATCCTTGAAGAACTTTTGTGGTTTTTAAGTGGTTCAACAAATGCCAAGGTGATTTTTCTTTCATTTTAATATTTGAGAGTTCAGGTTGTATTTCCTATCCTGCTATGCTTGTTCTTAGACTTTATTGTGTTATGTTTGACGCTAAAGTACATGTTTGATTTGTTATTTATTGCTTTGGTTTTTTTTTTTTTAATCTAGTCTTAGAATTAGCATCTACAGTTCTGATTCAATTCTAGTATTAACAGGTACTGCAGGAAAAGGGGATTCATATATGGGATGACAATGCATCTAGAGATTACCTTGACAGGCAATTACACGTTTCTTACTTCTTCAATGGGCCTGATATTCTTTTGAAGCAATTTTAAAAAAGTTTAGAACTTATTCTTTCATCTTCTTCTTATTCTTTTTTTTTTTCCAGCATTGGTTTGACTGAGAGAGAAGAGGGTGACTTGGGACCAGTGTATGGGTTCCAATGGAGACACTTTGGTGCTAGGTTGATGAATCTTTTTATGCTGTTGCTGTTATATATCATGCTTTCTGCGAAAGCATAACTTTAATTTCACCAGGTTGAATTTTGATCACAGGTATACTGACATGCACGCTGACTACACTGGCCAAGGATTTGATCAGCTGATGGATGTTATCAACAAGATAAAAAACAATCCTAATGATAGGCGGATCATACTTTCAGCTTGGAATCCTTCTGATCTCAAACTGATGGCACTTCCACCTTGTCACATGTTTGCGCAAGTTAGTATATTAACTTTTTCCAAAGCATATATTTGCGAACGTTACAATGAAAGTTGTTTTTCGATGCTTCCAAAAATGTTCCCGTCTTCAAGTGTTCCTTTCATATTTCCTTTGCAGTTTTATGTGGCCAATGGGGAGTTATCTTGTCAAATGTATCAACGCTCAGCTGACATGGGTCTTGGAGTGCCATTTAACATTGCATCGTATGCCTTGTTGACATGCATGATTGCTCATGTTTGTGGTAAGCTTTCGCGACAATTTACGTTTACTTTTTCATCTATCAGGTTGAGGCTTGAGTGAGTGTAGTTTCTTCTGTTTTCCAATTTTAAAGTGCTATTTCTTTTAGTTTGCCTATGACCACAATAATGCACATAACTAATGAAATATATTAATGGTGTTAAATGAGTGTGGGGTCATAATTGAATATCTTTCTTTACTTTAATGGAAGTGTTTAGATTTTTATTTGTATATAGATAAAACGGACGTATGTATTCCAATAATCTATAATGGAGTATGATTAACTCCCTATTCACTCAGTTTTCTTTTCTTCTTCTTTTTTTTTTTTTTGGTTCATAATAATTATGTAATTGATGTCCCTAGATCTGGAGAGACCGAAAAAGAGACTCTGAGTACTGGGGTGCAAGTTTTCTGCAAATCACATTAATTTTGTAAAAAGCCCTAACCATGATTAATGCGGCTTCCTTGTAATTGATTTATTAAGTTGTCTTGTGTTGGTACCTTTCTTCTTGCAAATTTCTCTTGTAGCTTTTGCCAAATTTATTGGAAATAAAGTTTAGTTGTTGCTATTGTTTTCTTCTTTGGATATTCATACATGTTTCCTCCATAGACTGAAGAATTAATACAATATTCTCCTGATTACGAAGAATTTGAATGGTATAAGAATTGGCTCCAATGCACAGGAATGAATATGTTTGTTGCTTACTTTCTTGTCGTGCAACATCAGACATAAACATTGTTTGTAACATCCTACATGTTTAAGTATTTTGCCTGCTTGCTGTATGTTGATTAACTTCAGACTCAATGTCCAAATTCTTATGCAGATCTTTCTCCGGGTGACTTTGTCCATGTGATTGGGGACACTCATATTTATCGCACTCACATCAGACCTCTGCAGGACCAGCTTCAGAAGAAACCTAGACCTTTTCCGGTGAGTATCATGTGTGTATAGCTAGCTGTTTAGAAATTAAGAAAGGGGAATGCAAGTTGTGTTGATTTTATTAACCTCCCTCAACTCCTCAACCCCTCAACCCCCTCCCTTATATGAGACAGTCACTCTCTGTTTTTTGGGTCTTGAGGGGAGGGGGTGGGGATTCTAGGATGTTCATGAATTGGCATATGTTATGGCATGTTCGTCTAAGCTTAAAAGTGAACTTATAAGTGAATAAGTAAGTTAAACAATTTTCTTTGAAATTAAGTTACTGATTTTGAAAGTAAGGTAAAAGTTACTTTTGAAAGAAGTAACTTTTTTTTACTTAAGGAAAAAGTAGCTGTTCAAATATTTTTGCAGACGAAGTAACTTTGTTTAAAGCTTAAATGCTCGATATCTTTCACTTCCCTTGATCTAATTGATAATATAAATGAGCAGACGCTGAAGATCAATTCTGAGAAGAAGGATATTGATTCCTTTGTTGCTGCTGATTTCAAGCTTATTGGTTATGATCCTCACGAGAAAATAGAAATGAGAATGGCAGTATAGACTTGCTTACAAGTGAGAGAGGGATCGTATGGAAACTGTTCTTTTCATCTTATTTTTGAGGCAAGTTCTCTACTCCTGTTTATAATTTGTATCATTTGAAAACGCCTTTCTGAACCAAAAATCTTCAGTTTGTGCCGGTTTATGTTTTTCATTTTTGATTGTCGTATAAAACACATTTTCAAATAATCATACGAATATTTCACTTTGGAGTTAACATTTAGATGCGTTAAGTGCGGTTTGAAAGTATTATGTTCATCTAAATTACTAATGCATGTTTGGTTATAGTACCAGACAAGGTTGAACACTACTGCAGACAATTTCTTTTTCATCGTTAATATTGTAGAGTCAACTTACCAAACACGTTACTAGTGAATTATTAATTACTTTAATTTCTTTTACAATGTTGCAGGCTATGGCAAAACGGCTGTGCTTAACTACTAAATATCGAGAAGATTACTGTCTGAAGTTTCATATAGAACTGGTGGTTTATAGGTCATTTTAGATCATGTAATCAACTTGATTTTTCTCTCTTTTTGTTGTGATGTTGGAAGAGCACTCGCTTTTTTGCTTTCTCTTATGATACTCGTACTCTTTTTTGAAGTTTTCTTCCATGCTTTCATTTGGTTAATTTTTCTCAGCTATTTGCACTTTAGATGCTATTACATGCTACAAGGCAAAATTTGTCCCGAGGGCCTTGTTTTTCATGGAATCCCGTGATCTTATCGGGGATGGATTAATTTAGTGTGCGATCAGTTTGTTTTTGTATGTTAGATCTTAGAAAAGTAGCGTTTAAGCTTCTTTTCTTCATTTTGATGCTGAGAAATGTAAACTGAAAGAGGATACTGAGACAATAAAGTGCAATGAGTCGTTAAAAATGCGGTAAAGCCCTTCACTTAGAGTGAAATTTCATGTTAATCATGTATGAAATCGCTAATTAAGATTGCATCGATGTAGCATGAAAATTGTTGAGTTCATTTTGAATGTCTAATTAGGCTTCATAGGCGTGGTTGAGAAGTAGTTGGAAATTCATAATTAATAAATCTACTAATCTTTGTAAGATCTTGGTAAGATATAGCATGAAATATTTATTTATCTTCATAAACTTGGTTCAGGTGCAATACTTTTTAATATTTGAGGTTACTCTACCTCTTGATTTTGTTGTTCAGATGAGCAAACTGCAAAAAGAGGTCGGAGCTTTCTTTCTCGTTGTACCTTCAGTGTGCGAATTAGTGATGGGATTTTGAGTAAAATGACTTGTGAAAATAGAGAAAATATATTGCAAAAAAAATAGACCCTGTACCTGGCACACCTTTGGAGTATTTATAAGTGTTTGTTGTAGTGTAATTGTCAGACGGTTACCGTTCATGTGTCTAGTGTCGCATGTCGATTTACAAGACGATTTTCGCTTATGATCTGAGTTGATGGTTTTCACTCACTAAATGGTTAGTGTTATCAATGATAACTGTCAATCAATTATCAATTAACTAAAAAAGATGTTCAGATAGTTAGAGTTGTGGTAATCAATCTATCATAGTAAGAGTTGTCTAGCATAACAGAATTTAGGATAGCATAGGAGTAGTCGGTCTACCATAGTAGCAATCAGACTAGCATAGCTGTAATCGGTCTACCATAGTGGAATTCAGGATAGCTCAACGATAGTCGGGGTAGCATAGCAGTAGTCGCTCTATAATAGTGTTAATTGGACTAGTGTAGGAATTGGTCGTTCTTCCATAGCGATAGTGAATGTAGTATAGTGGTAGTCTCTCTACCATAGTGGTAGTCAAACTAACATATTGATAATTGGTCTACAATAGTGGTAGTGGGACTAGCATAGTGGTAGTAGTTCTACCATAGTGGTAGTTAGACTAATATAACGGTAGTCGCTCTACCATAGTGATAGTTAAGCTATAATAGCGGTAGTCGCTCTACCATAGTGACAATCGGACTAGCATAGCAATAGTCTCTCTATCATAATGATAGTTGGACTAGCATAACGGTAGTCTATCTATCATAGTAATAGTCGCTCTACCATGGTGATAGTCAAACTAGCATAGAGATAGATGAGTTGGCATAGTGAAAGTCACCTTGCATAGTGGAAATCGCCTAACATAGCAGAAGCTGCCTTCCCTTTGTTGGCCATCATAATTCACTATTTATGTCACATAGCATCATCAACCATTATAAGAATTTCAAACAAATTCAAAAATGTTTCTAACGAAAAGCATAATTCTTGAAATCATAAATATCACAAGTCAATAATGTTTTGTTCGTGGAAAGAGAGAGCTATATTCGTGGGCTGAGTTTGAGCTAGAGTGAGCATTTTGAGGGGTTGTACTTAAAAATAAGAAAATATCATTAGTCAGGTAAAATGGCGTGTGCCTTTGTAGGTAGCTCCTAAACAGGCCTTTTAGAATATTGATTTCTCCCATTTTGACTCGAAATGTTGAATAGTCTTGTACTATATGTACTGTGATAGGTCAGGAGACATGGTCCACTCCTAGTGTATAACTATAAAGATCAATATGAATAAATATATGCGAAGAATCTTTTTGAACTAAATTCTACTTATTGTTCTTTCCTCTCTTTCCTTTGTTGTGATGGGAGGTGTAGTCACCTTCTCCATTTTATATTGGGGTTGGCCTGACATGGGATAAGACCTACGGTCAATGTTAGGCCTCATGAATCATGATTTTTAGTGTTCTAGATAAAATAAAATTAGGTCGAATTGAGATGCCTCGACTTACACCCTTTCTATGGCTATGGACATTTTTAGGACAATTGCACAATTGTATTTATATTCACACTGAGGTCATTCATCACTCAGTTATAGCAATCTCTTGGAATCTCAAGTGTTTGGATCTCTCATCATTTGTTGTAATTGCTGGAACTCATATTTATGAATAATGTGATGTAGTATTTGTGACCATTAGTCTACGCGGCATCACATTAATAAGCCAAGCTATTCACCCACTATTGGGGATTATTGGCTGATTGCCTATTGCAATGTCTTTTACAAGGTAATCACCAAGATTCTTGCTTCTCTATTGGGTCCTATCTTTGGGTCTATAGTGTATCGAGCTCAAACCGTTTTTGTTGAGGGATGGAGCATGATGAAAAATATTCATCTTGCTCAAGAGCTTTTGAAGCAATATAACCATAAGAGAGATGTTACTCAGTGCCTTCTTAAAATTGATTTAAGGCATATGATTTGGTTAATTGAGATTTTCTTAAAGGCATACTTGAAAGGCTGGGATTCCCTACAAGATTCATTGATTGGGTGATGGAATGCACTACTATGCCTTCGTACTCCATAGCATTAAATGGTAGCCTATATGTAACGGAGAAAGGCATTCGATAAGGATATTTTATTTCTTTCTTGTTTGTATTGTGTCTTGAATATTTTTCGAAAATGATGAAGGCATCCATTGAGAATAGTGAATTCAACTTTTGTCCTAAATGCGAGCTCTTAAAGATTACTCATCTGTCATTTGCAGATGACTTGATGATATATGCTAGATGAGATGTTATGTCGATCTGTATCTTGATGGATTGCTATCCAACTTTGAGACTACATCGGGCCTAAGGATGCATACTAACAAATCCAGCTTGTACACAATTGGAATTCATGGGGCAAGAGTTGGAGGAAATCCCAGAACTAATGAAATACCGAAGTGAAGAATGCCATTTTGTTATTTAAGTATACCATTTGCGGTCGAAAATTTGAAAATAAACTGTTATACACTGTTTCTGGACAAAATTACAGCCTATATAAGTGCATGGATGAGTTTTTCACTGTCCTACGCTGAAAAGGCAGAACTCTTGATAGTCGTACTCTAAGGAGTTGAATGTTTTTTGTTGTCTATCTTTTCGGTTCCAACGACAATCACTTCGAGAATCATTACGCTGTGCCCGAACTTCCTTTAGGTATCCAAGAAGCCCTTAATAGCTTAGAAGGACGTTTGCCTATTGAAAAATGAGGGAGCTCTTGGTTTTAGGGACATTAAATGCTGGAATTTTGCATTGATAACGGAGTCCATATGAAACATTCATGCAAAGAGGAATACTCTTTGGGTGCGGTGGGTCAATCATGTTTATTTATGAGTGTTGGTATTTTATCAACATGTTTGTTTGATTTTGAGAAATTTAAAACGGATTTCAGAAAATAGAAACAAGAACACAGAGAATTTTTCACACATGAAGGGTCCAGATGTTCTGTCACAAAAACCTACTCACCCGTTGAGCATCGACTGCTCGATTAAACTCTAGATCCACTAAATCTCCAAGAAACGTACAAATGTATGAAGAAATTACAGATTTCTTCAAGTTCCCTCTAGCCTCTCTATTTGAAATATGGTAACACTAAATCTTACACAAAGATTTTGTATACAACTCTAAACACTAAATTGCAGAGAAATCATCACGAAGATGAATGGTTACCAATTTTGAAAGAACCCTAGTTCACACACAGATAGAACAATCTAGAGAGAAAGAACAGTTCTGTCGAAAAGTGAAGAACCCAGAGTTAAATACTCAAAACCAATCGTCACAGATCAAAGGCAGCTAAGAAGCCACGTGTACGGCAGAAGGCTTCACTTGAGGGAGGCAAAAAACGTTATTTGTAAGGACACGTTTTAGGTAATGAGCCGGGTACTAAACCAATAAGATAGGCCCAGTTCTTTAGAAATAGCGAGGCAGCCCAAATAATAACAAACTCCACGTTTATGAGCTATTTCTTGTTTAATTAATGGGTCTAGAGATCGCACTAGCTTCATTTGCTCTCATAACCTGTAAAAACAAAAAATTGGAATTAGTTTGAATTCTATACACGGCTTAAGATTCTGGTTTATCACTAACTGTCAATCTTATGTGATATTCAGAATCATTAAGCAATTTTTGAACTTGTTTAAAGGAAGTATCTTAGTACCTACATCAGAGGGATTATATTCAGTAGGGATTTTGACTAAAGAAATCGTACCTTTTTCAACCATGTTCCTCACGAAGTGGAATTTTATGTCAACATGCTTTGTTCTATCATGATATACTGGATTTCTATTCAAATGTAGAGCATTTTGGTTATCAGTAAATATTTTTACAGAATCATTTTGAAAACCAATTTCATTTAATAACCCTCTTAGCTAAATACATTCTTTAACAGCATCACATACAGCAATATATTCTGCCTCCGTTGAGGATAATGCAACTAATTTCTGCGGTGGTGATTTCCAACTGATACAGCTATCACACGGAGTAAAAATATAAGATGAAGTAGATCTTCTTTTGTGTAAATCTCCAGCAAAGTCTGAATCACAGTAACCCTTCAGAATTATACCTTCATTACCTCTTTTAAAATTTATTCCTAGTTGACATGATCCTTTTAGATATCTAAGCATCCATGTAACTGCTAGCCAATGAGTTTCACTTGGGTTTGCAATGAATCTACTCAAAATACTTATTCCATGAGCTAGATCTGGTCTAGTGCATACCATAAGATACATTATAGATCCTATTGCATTAGCATATAGAACATTTTTCATTCTATCAATTTCTTCTTCAATTTTTGGTGACTGATCACATGATAATTTGAAATGATTTGCAAGGGGCAGGGATACAGATTTACATTCAACCATA